CCCCGGCGGCAGCCGGGCGACCGGCCAGTGGTGGGCAGCCCTTGCCACGGTGGCTGCCGTGTGGGACCCGTGCCTGCTCCCCAGTGCTGAGCTCATCCCCGGGGGACACTGAGGGCCGCTGCATCCCTGCACCAGCCCACCTGGTTGCACAGTGCCGTGGTCCCTGGGCCGCTCCGCCGTGCTCAGCAGTCCTGCTCCGAAGTGCACCAGAGCCCTGTGAGGGGTGCGGTTCGGGCCGTGGCTGAGCTGTGGGTGAAGGAGCCGTCTGGAGCCCGTCGAACCTGCCCAGGGAATGCAGTGCCGGCCAGAGAGAGGCCCAATGAGAGGAGGGAGGCACCCCCGAGGCCTTCTCCTCGCCTCGCCGCCCTGGGGGTTGGGGCGTGTACACCTGCTTTCCAGGCTCCCTGGCTGAGACTCGAACTGCAGCCAGCCCTGCAGGACCTGGCTCCCTTAGTCACAGGCTCCGGAGCCAGCTAGGGATGGCTCTCCAATGGGGGGACGGGAGCTTGTCCGCCAGCTGTCAGCTGGAAGGCACTTGGGTGTGGAGTTAGGGGTACAGTAAGGTCACCCTCTGTATGCCCTCACCCACCAGTGGCTCTCTGCTCCGGGAAGCCTGGCTCTGCCGAGGGCTACAGCCAGTGGGGAAACGTGAGGCACTAATAGACCAGCCGGGGTCCCCCAACACGGCCGCGCTGGGAACTTGGAGGTGCCTCCTCGGAAGTCTAGACTCTGCTGAGGTTCGGGCAGCTGCCTGTCACCAGTGGCTCTCTAGGCCGACGTGAGGTCTGAGAGATCCGTGAGGACAGTGGGGCCCTGGCCACGCAGCTGCTCTGGCCCCATTAGATCCCCGTATGCTGCACAGGTCGGCTCTCACCTGTGTGGCTGCGAGCCCCCTTGGGTGCACCTGCCCTGTGCCGTCAGGACAGTGGGGTGTCCTCCTCGGGCAGGGAGAGCTCGCTCCGCCTGCATGTGGCAGCAGGCCGCTGCTCCCCGCCCTGGCCGCCTCCTCACGGGGCGGGACGAGCACAGGGGTGAGTGCTCCCCAGTCCCCATGAAGCTGTCCTCACTCTCTCCCCACCACGCCTGGTCAGGGGCGGACCGTTTCTATGACAACATCGAGGACATGATTGGCTACCGGCCGTGGCCCCTGGTGAAGATCTCCTGGCTCTTCCTGACCCCTGGGCTTTGTGTGGTGCGTGTCCACCTGGTGACCCCCACCCCGCCTGCCCCAGGAGACCCTGCGGAAGTACGCCTGACTCATGGGGCCCTTTCCTGCTGCCCAGCCCACTGCAGAGGTGGCCTGCCCACACCACTGGGCC